GGCAAAATTCTATGGAAGTGCATCTAAAAATGCCTTGAAATGTCCTTTAAAAGCAGCTTTAACGGTAAACAGAAAATGTCGCTTGTTGTACCCATAAAGTAAAATCACAACTTTTTACTCCAAGCCTCATTTGCCTCCTATGTTACTCCAGCTCCATAACTGACCCCGTATTGGTAAGACAGCAAAATTTAAAATTCTGTAAGTATGATCGTCTATATAATAGATGCAGAATAAGTACAGCCAACAAGTTGTTTTTAAAAGCATTTTGTTATTAATGTCTTACAATGATATTACTGATCAAATTTATAGTAGGAAAGAAAAGCAGGTACTTTTGTTATTTTAGCTGATCTTCTTGTAACGTTTGAGACTTGTGACTACATGAGTAAATAGTATGGGATCTGCAGCAGAAGTAAAATGGATGCATCCAATTCTTCTAAAAACTGATCATAAGACACAAAGCTTAATGCAAATGAGCCCAACCCTTTTTTGCTTCTGAAGTAGGCGTTTTCCCCCCTGCCACTGGGGGCTTCTGCTTTTTTTTCCAATCTGGAGTGATATAAATGGTGTTTTCCATGTGTGATCTGTTGTTTTGTTCTTAAAAATGACAGGGGTGGGGCAGGGCATGAAGGCGGGTGGCATTCTGGTGACGTACTAAGCTGGGTGTGATGTTTTGGACAGTGGGAACATCTACCCTTCTGATCTTTTCCCCTTGTTGACCTGCAATATTTTTATAAAACAAACTACTCAGTTTAGCACCAGGTCACCTCTGCACAGACAAAAATAAAATAAAATAAATCAATATGACATAGAAACAACTTGAACGAAATACAACAGACTACTATGTTTCCATGGCATGCATGTGTATGTATTTGAATGTTATGGAAAAATTTGGAAAACTGTCCTTTTCCCTAGAGCTTGTAAAACACTTTAAACAGCCTACCAGTTTTAATATGAGCCATAAAAGGAGAGCAGGGGATCAGCAGAAAGTGGCATCAAAGGAAAAAGGGGTTGTGGCACAGATCAAACCGCACTGGGTTGAGGGCCCAGTGTGGACACTGGCACCAAAACAGCCCATGATCCCTGTGTGATCACCTAATCTGAATTGAAGCATGAAACAGGCTGCAAATCAAGCCGCAGCAAAGCCGAATCACTCCAATTTGGCATGCCAGTAGCTGCAGCCTCAGCCAGAGGCAGTAAGACGTGTTTTGAGTATGGCCAAAATCATCTCCCATGGCTAATCAATTTTTTCTGGCCTCACAGAGATTCTTCTAAATTTTAACTGGCGTGGTAAAAAGCTTGCTTACAGTTGGACTCACAAGGGAAAAATGAAATGTTTCCTAGTTGCAATCAATCAATACTTCACATTTAGTGAGACATCTCTCTCTTTCCATAAGTCATGCATGCATTATACAAACATACAGTCGTTAAACATAAGCATATGTATCCCGTTAATAGTGAAAGACCTTCTACCGGATGGCGACTGCTTTATCATTGTGCAGCCTGACCACTTCCAACTTCCAGGTCAACATTTCAAGAACTCCCCTTACCCAAAAGGTCTGAAACAAAAGGCAGCTATGTGTGTCCTAAGCCTTTGGCCAACTCATTTCTCTATTCCAGGAATAGGGAACAGGTAGCCTTCCACAGCTTTTTGGACTACAGCTACCATTATCCCTCCCCAACCCCTCCCTCTGTTGGTTAGGGCTGAAGAGCTGACACCATCCAAAAGGCCCTCTGCTCTTTATGTTTGTTCTGCTGCTTTTAACCACATTGAAGGGAACGGTTCCATGAGAACAAACAGGTCCAGAAGGAGCGACGACGTCGCCTCACAGAATCACCGGAAGGGACCTTGTGCCCTGTCAGACTGCTGGGCTATCTAATCTGGGGTGTGAAATTTTGGTGGGCCTGGGGTCATATTTATCACCCCTAGTAACACCAACAGGCCACAACCGTCTCAGAATAGGCTAAAATGAACCACTTGTTTAAACAAACAAACAAACAAAAAACAAAATTGGAAATGCCAAGATACTATCTTCTGGCTTTGATTTTTCTGACTGTGGGTTGGGGCCCTGCAACGTGTTTCCTACAAAAGCTGATACATCTAGAAGCTAGGGAGAAATGCCTTAAAATAAGTGCATTTGTTGTCTAGAAAACAGAAGGCAAGGGATGCAAAAACACTTTCCAGTTCAAGGAGAGGGGTGGGGGAAAAATCTCTCTTTGAAATCACTGAGGCCCATTCCAATATGACCTTTCCATCTTGGCTGCTCTAAACCGGCACCTCCCCCCCCCCTCAGCCCATGCAGCTGCCATGTGCTTTTTGCCTTGGCTACCTTATTAGCCTTCTTTCATCACTACTCTTCTGGCCTCACAGGGTGATAAGGGGTTTGGCGGTTTCTTTAGTCATGGCCTCTGAAGGCTTCACCCTGACAGGAAGGAAGCTGTGTGTGTGTGTGACATATGAAACGTGTCTTCTTCCAGCTTTGTAAGCAAAGGTTTCACTCAGGATAGCCAATTATCTTTACCCAGCGTAGTGCCCTCTACCTATGTAGGGCAGCCATTCACTAGCTGGGTAAGATGGGAATGATGGGTGTTGTAGTCAAATGATTACCTGAGCGTACCAGCTGCTTATCACATGGAGACAAGGGTGGCTGGTAGTTCAGAATGACGTGCATGAAACCAGAGGGGCAGCCAGTTATTCAGCGATGATTCCAAGGATCAGAAGGCACAAAAAAATTAAAAAACAAAACAACCCCCCCCCCTCAAGTTTAGGACAAACTGGCAGAAAATGGGGAAAGGTCCTATTTTGGATTTAAAACTCCAAAAACTCTCCAGGCAAACACAGCAGTGGCCATGCTGACTAGAGGAACTCCAAGAGATGCTGTCACCCAAATGTCTTCTCTAGGATCGAGATAGGGTGCGAGGCGAGTCTTTGTACACAGCTCACCCTCCTCGAATGCACAGGATTGCAAGGGTTCTGTCGTCACCAAATGGCTTCCGTCCCTCGCTGTAAACGAGGGGTGGAAATCCTGGCGGATCTAGGGGCTGAGGTCTCCTTCCTTGATCCTGCTGCGGGCAGCCTCTCCCCTCTCTCCCAATGTTTTGTGGCATGACAGCAAATGGATGTGAGGAAAACCCCACTCCTGAATACACCAACAAACAAGGTATTTCCTTGTCCTTTCTGAGCAGTATGGGCGTTGTGCAATGTCTCTCAAAAATAAGGGAGCTCTGTGGTAATACAGTAGACCCAAAACCTCAGTGGCCAGTGGCGGAGGCTGGGAAGAGGGACAGGAAAAGGCCAGAGGACAGCCTGTGACCATTAGGCCTGTGGGTCCCTCCACACCATCTTACAACAGGAAATACCAACCACTCTACCAACCACTCTTCACAACCTTCTTCTTTTCCTGCTGCTCCTTCTGTCTTCTCTCCCAGGCCCACTATATATTTTAGTGCAACGCCACTCTGCCACAAACCTATTTTCTAGTGCAGCCAGTACCCTTCAAAATCCAGTCTGTTTTCCCCTCTTCTTCTTCTTCTTCTTCTTCTTCTTCTTCTTCTTCTTCTTCTTCTTCTTCTTCTTCTTCTTCTTCTTCTTGTGCCCCGTGGACATCTTGCGCCCCTTCCACATTTTGCATACTGTCGCTGCTTTACCTGTGGTGGGCCAAGCTCCTGGGGGCCAATGTTGTCCCTGAGAACACCACTATGGGTCTCGTCTCCTCTAACATTAAAGAGAGATGGTGTGTTTTCCCTTCAAATCCAAAAATGAGCAGAAGTTTACCTCACTTTTAAAAAGGAAGTAGAAAACCTCTCCCCGATCTGTCAACAATAAAGTAAAATACATTTAAAAATCGCTCTGCCCCTTGTTTTAGAGCCCAATCGCTGCACCATTTTCTGAAGAACTTCAGAAATTGGACCATTTTCTGCCTTTAAAAAAACCCCTGTAACAGCCCTTAGCTTTCAGCACGACTAGCTCCAAGCCAGAGGAGATGTCTGCGATGTTGTTCACTACTGGATTTCCCCTAAACTGTCAGGCAACCTCTCTTCTCCTCCTGTTTCATTTCTATCCACATGTGCCGTGCCATGACTGGACTGTCACTGCAGGAGGACGACAAGGATGGAGGCAGAGGCACTCTGGAAAAGAGCGACAGCAACAGCCCCCCAGTGACAGCTAGAAAAGTGCCAGAAAGAAGAGCCCAGGCTAGTTGCGGGAGGGGGAGCAGCAGCGGTGGGCTCCTGGGTGTAGACTAAGGATGACACTCACTGGCACTATGCTCACCATGCAAGAGCAACTATGATCCTCCAGAGGTGGTTCAAGAGAAACTGCCCTCAGCCCCGGCCTAGCCCATGGTGAAGACCTGTGGGAGATGTAGTCCAAAAATCTCTGGGAGGCTACAATTGGCCGCCCTGTTGAAAGGCAAAGGAAGGAAGCCTCAGGCCTGTAAGTCTCATCTGGCTCACAAACAGCCCTTCCCTTCCTTGTTTTCCTCTCCCAGACATGCTTCCAGAACCACACTGGCCCTGCTGGCTAGCAGGGTTTCTAGAAGCCATGGCCCACATAAGCAGTTACAAGCTCTGGAATCTCTTGCGTGCCACCAGCTGTCCTACTTGTACCTCCAGAAAATGCTGGGAAGATAGAAGGGAATCAGCCGTGTCTATTCTCCTCCCTACTTTTACCCCATCTCTGTGAGAAATGGCCTGACCCCTTGGTCTGAAGGCTCACCAAGGGAGGGGTGAGAGCAGGAGAGCTCAGAAGACAGGTGGTGCATAACCATAGTCGTCATCATCATCACCATGGGATTTCCAGTTCCAAACTGATATACACCTTGAACATAAAACACCAGACATAGTAGTAATAAAATGAAGAAATGTCCAGATCATTGACATTGTAATTCCAGGGGATGCCAGAGTTCAAAACAAAGAATTGGAAAAACTAATACAGAGACCTGGCAATGAAAACATCTCGCTTGTGGATGAAACACACTTCATTGGTCCCCATAGTCATTGGGGCTTTGGGATCAGTATCAAGAAATTTCACACAGTATTATAAGCGGTTGCAGATCTCAGAAATAACACCACGAGAGTTACAAAAAACACCAGGACTAGGAACCGCATACATACTGTGCCAATATTTAACAGATACTAAGGTTTTTGGTTAAAACTTGTATCTGTTAAATAATAGCAATCAATATTTTTATAATTTTGATTGATTGTGTCTGGTATTTTTGAATAATAATAACAATAATATTATTACTGTACAGCTGGAACGGACGCTATGGATCAGCCAGTACAGCTCCTGTCAAGGAGCCACAGTGGGGACTCGAAACTCCCAACCTCTGGCAGGGGCTCCATTTCCTCTTCTAGTCACTGGAAAGAATGAATCATTTCCCTTCCTTGGCGAAAAATTTCCCACCTGCCCTCTTTCCAGACAGCAAAATGGAACCTGATTCCAGAAGCAGGATACCTCAGATGACAGAAGACGGGGAGCAAAACAAAGGACACAAGGTAATATCTTCAAGCCTAGGTCACAAGTTTCTCAGCAGCATCTGGCCAGATGTGGTTGGGGCCAAGCGCAATAAGTCCCTGGCCAGATCGAGTTACGGATACTCTTCTGCCCAAGTTCCACGTGGGATGATGCCGGCACCCCACCTGAAAGACAAAGATCAGCTTCCGGACAGACAAAAAGGCAGCAAAGGCACCCGCTGAGGGAGGATGCCGACCAACGTGTCTGGGATCTTCATGGTTGGCAGAGCTGCTACGAGACATCTGGCAGAGTCAGGTCCTCAAACATAAGGTACTGCTTCAGCACTGGAGGAAGATCGAAGTCCCTGATGGCTCGGAGCCTCCTGTGGCCAAGGGCAGTTCGGACAGATAGGCGGCTGAGGTGCTTGAGGGAAGGGGGTTGCCGGCGGCAAGCCTCCATCCAGGCGATCAGGGCCGGCTGTGCCACGAGGCGCTTGGGAGGGACTCCAGTCCTCTGAAGCAAGAGAAAGAATGAACAGCCTTTGTGGGACACAGTGGACTCCTCTGAACTTGGACCTTGCCAGACAGGATGGCTCTTTTGTCTGACGTGGAGACTGCTTACAGAAAAACGTAGAGAACTTTTGCCCTCCAGGCCAAATGTGGCTGAGGGTCACCATTTGGACAAAGCACTGCATTTTGGCATGGCAAGGTTCCGAATCCCCCAGCCAGCCTGTGGTCCTGTTGGCTGGTGGGTCAATGCGACAGTTCAGAAAAGGACAGTTCAGAAAAAACTTTTCAAAACTCTACTCAGAAGGGTGCCTGCCCCCTTCTGTGCCCCCCCACCACCACAAGCTCTACCTCTGAAGATGTGCCTGAAAAGAATTCCCCTATTTCTCACCAGAGAGGATGGGATTTTCCCTCCTTGCTTCCTTCTTCCCCCTTTCTGTAGGATTCAGGAGGGAGACATCCAAAGTGCTAGGTAGAAAAGCTGCACCTGGTGCTTTAAGAAGGGACCTGATGACAACAGAGGGCGTGGCCATATCCTTTGACATCCTTCAGATGATAAAAAGGCAGTGCAGGGTGGAGAGATCTATCTCCCTATCTGATTAAAGTCATCTGGCCCTGCTTACAACATCAGAGGGGAGTCTTTTATTTTCTACTGCTGAAAGCTGATATTTCTTGAGATTAATTCCTGGCAGGGGTGGGTGGGAGATCTGCATGCTAGCATTGAGCAGAAGGCAGCCGCTGGTCACATGGAAAAAGAAGATGGAGCTCCTGTAGCTTTAATAATATGGAAGAACTAATTTCAGTATGACAAGCTACATCTGCAGAAATGCTGCCTCTATAATGATATTAAAGGTACAAGAAGGTACACTAATACCAATTGGTCTTGTCTTTCCTATGGCCATACGACCTGGACAGGTGGAGTCTGCAAGCCTGCAGATTTTATAAGGGCCCCCTTTTTCTCTGTGTCCACCCCTCTTTTTCAGTTTCATGGAGGTGCATTCCACCTCCATGAAATTAGGCCGGGGGCTGTATGTAGTTCAGTCATATGTTCCCCATCCTGGCTTATGCGGAAGGATTTGGAAAGGGTGGACACAGGGTTAGGAAACAGAGGTTGGTAACAAGGGCAAGTCTGATGAGAGATCTTCTCTGAGCCACGCAACAGAGCTGAGGTTGAGGCAGGCTTTTCCTTAATGACTGGTGGTCTGGGAGGGGCTTTAAATGAATTGTTGTGCTCTGTTGTTTTCCATGTGTTTTAATACTGATTTTATTTACTACTTTAATATTTATTTAGTTCTTTTTAAATATTTGTATACTTTATTGTTTATTTAGTTCTTTTTAAATATTTGTATACTTACTGTTTTTTAGATTTTAAATACCGTTTTTAATCATGTGCAAGCCGCCTTGGGAAGAAAGGCAGGATAGAAATATTTTAAATAAATAAAATAAATAAAGGAATGAATAGCTGAGGACAGGTAGAGATTGAAGGCATATCTGCATAGGTTCACTGGAATGGGCTAAAAAGGTTTGCTAATGGTCACAGAGAATTCTGGTATGTCATTTGCTACGATCCTTGCATCCAAACAGCATAAGCGCCTCAAGCAATCTTTTGATTGTCAGTTTTCCATCTCATAAAGTGGCTTAAGAAGGCAGCCACTTCAGGATATTGGCAAATTAAACACTTCCTCTGCTGCAAGCTGGTTCTCAACCCAAAGTTTAAGACAAGACACAAAGAAAAAGAGAAAAAAAAAGCCTGTTGTTGCTCTCCCATTTCCAGAAGGAAGCTTCCAATTTAAAAAATGTTGTTGCACCTTCGCACTGCCCTAATGTGGTGTAATCCCCCCTCCCCCGTCCTCCAGGGAGCAGAATAAATGTTTAGTTTGCCACTTCATGATATGGGAAATCGACAGCAGAAGGACCCTTGGCAGCCCTGAGTTCGCTCTGATTATTTCCAGCGATTGTATGAAGCAGGAAATGGACCGAAACGAAACAATCCCACCGGTACCAAAAAAGTAGAAGCTCCTGACAGGGACCTGGGGAAGGTGCAGATACGAGGGCTCTGGGAAACAGGCTGGTTCTCTGCAGCAATTACATCTTGTGACTGCCTGAAAAAGAGGAGCAAACCAGCTCATCCCTGCAATGGCCCAGACAGGAGGCTAAATGTCCATCTGATCTGTACCTTGAGAAGAAGGGGGGGGGGAATTGGGCCTGGGAAGCTTGAGGGCAGCAAAGAGGCCAGGAAGCAGGTACAAAAGAGACGAGGAGGAGCATAAGGAATGACGCATGATAGGATGCGGGGGGGGGGGACCATTTAAACCCTCTGCTACAACGCCGAAGTCAGGGGCTGTCAAGCAGGCCTACGCAAGCAGGCCTACGGCTTGTGGTCTACACAAGCCGTAGGCCTGCTCGCAGTACTGTAGGCCGGGGGGTCTTAACCTTTGTTACTCAGGTGTTTTTGAACTGCAACTCCCAGAAACCCCAGCCAGCAGAGCTGATGGGGAAGGCTTCTGGGAGTTGCAGTCCAAAAACACCTGAGTAACAAAGGTTAAGAACCAGTGCTGTAGGCCAAAATCAACTGGGCCTCAATCTGCAGATGACCTATTCGTATTTCTGGCAGAGTTATGTCCAGGCTTATATTTCAAATGTATGTACTGTACTATGAGGTGACGACTCCTCCATCTTTAACCAATTTACTGGAGGTGGATGGTGGGAGCTGTCATTTTACACATATCTGGAACACACCCAGTTGAGGAAACCTGGCTTGGACTCCCGACTTTTGCTGGCCTCCCACAAAAGGCTACCTTGTTCCTGTAGGAGATGCACGCGCCCGCCTGCACCAGCAACCGGATACACTCTGTTTGTCCGCTGCACGCCGCCAGATACATGGGGGTCACCCCCCAGTTGTCCTGCAGGTTCACGTCTGCACCATGCTGAAGAGGGAAAACAACGCATCGGCACCAGAGAACTGGTGAACCTCATGCCCCCCAAGCCACCACCACTCCACCCTCGCAGGACTAACAACAGCGCTATATCTTTGAATGAGTGTTTTGTGTAGGAAAAAAAAATACACAGGAGGGAGGGAAGGGGGAATAATCCTGCCAGCTTGCCAATCCAACATTCCCAATGTAGATTGGCCCTCCCTTCTTGCAAACGCTAAAAACCTTCCATGGTTTAGCTGCATCTTCAGTTATACAGCCAAAGCTTGTACGGCAGGTAGCTAGGCTCAGCAAAATCACTTTTCCCAGTGATCATGTTGGCTGGGGGGGGATCCTTTGGACTGTACCCAAAGGAAAGTAATGCAGTAGGACCCCCTTATCCATGGGATTAGTATCCACGGATTCACTATCCACGGTCTGAAATTATTTTTTTTTTTTAATTTAAATCCAGAAAAAAACTCTTTTCACACGTATTACCCGTACCGGCCATGAGCGAGGGACAGAGACCATGCTAGGAAAACTTGTTAGCTATTCTCAAGCTGGTAGGAAGTAAAACAGGAGTAGCATAAGGTGCCTGGAAGAAGATGGGGCCTTTTGGAGGGTCTTACCTGGATCAGCAGCAGGGTGCAGTCCGGGAAGAGCCCGATGGCTGCATGAAGAGGGGTCCCTCCGTGTTTGCAGCAGGTGTTGACGTTGGCACCGTGCTGCAGCAGCAGCTCCACGGTGTGCTTCTGCCCCTTGTAGGCTGCCCAATAGAGCGGGGTCTTCCCATAATAATCCTTCTTGTCTACCAGCTCCCTGCCTGAAACCAAAAGGTGAGGAGCATCTTCAAATAGCAAACTGTCCATCACTGTTTTATATACTGAAAGCCCGAGGGCAGTTCCACTCAGCAGGCATGTCGTCACTATCATCCCCACCACCACCTCTGCTTTGCATGCCAACTGCCTGAGAACAGCTGGAATTCGTTTTTGTTTAGCTCTGCATGCCCAATGCAGTTCTCGGCAATGGCAGTGAAAAATCACACAGCACAGCAGAACTGCTGTTCATGAAGTAGCTCTGCATGGGTTCCACGCAACAGTTGTGACAGGAGCAGTGTGGCTGATGGCACAATCAAATTGCACAATCCTCATTGCCTGGGAGTAATGACTGGCAAACTTGTTTTGTTACACAAAAGCAAACTGGATTTCAGCAAATGAGTCAAACCTGGTTTGACGAAGAGCTCTGGATAACTTGATAGCTTGCACATTTGTGTGGAATTTCAATTCAGGCTAATAAATGTATTGCGAGCTTGCACATTTGTGTGCAATTTCAATTCAGGCTAATAAATGTATTGCTCATGTTTTTTAAAAAAGCAGAGCAAATCTGAATGATATTCACAAACAAAATTCTATACTTTGATGAGGTTTTCCAGGGGTCTGTGGCACCATCTGCTACCTGAGCACTGAAGCAATAACCATGAAAATGCAGCACATCTGCTCCGCCACTGAGCTATTCATCTGCTCCAAAGTAAGGAGATCTTAGAATCTCTAACAGAATCGGTAGTATCCCTCATTAAACTACAATTCCCAAGATCCTGAGAGGAAGCTATAGTAATCACATTACTACCAACTGGGTACATAGAAACTAACAGACCTGAGAAGAGGCTATCTGAATAGCAGATCCAGGACCAAGAAGACTTTGACCACCACCTCCCACCACTTTCTTCCTGGCTTTGAAAGATCTCCTTGTCCCTTTAAGACAAAATGCAGCCTTCCAGATGTTTTCAGACCACAACTCCCATCCGCCTTGCCAGCACAATCGATGAAGAGGAAGGGTAGAAGATGCAGTCCAGCCATACCTGAAGGGCTGTGCCATGTCCACTTCAGTTTTAGGTCATCTGGGAAATGACAGATCTAAAAGTGTAGATATGTAGAGGGTGTGTGTGGGGGGCAACCCAGGTATTGCCCACCCCTGGTTTAACAGCTGTCATAATTCAATAACAACTTACAAACGGATAACACTGAAATTCAACAAAACTATAATAGGATAACACTTGAAGAAAATCCCAATTCTAGATGCTCTACAAGACAAGTTGGGAACCTCCGGAGCACGGGGTGGACGTGGCCCCTGGAACCCCACCCTTTGTCAGACTTCTGCAAATTTGACTGCAGAACAGGAGGACACCTGAGGGGTTAATTGCCCAGGGAGAAAGGGTGACCTCTTCTCCGCTGTCCCAATGCTCCCACCTCTGAAATCCCTTGCTCCCAGTGATGCCTGTAAAATGCGGAACAAAGTCTTTCCATGAAGCTGTGGTACAGTGAGAGATGAGAAAAGTTACTTTCTGGATTGCATCAGCATACTGCAAACGGTATCCTAGAAGTTCAAAAAGAGATCAGCAGTTCTCTACATGCATGGCACACAAACCTGAAGTTAGCAGAAGTTGCTTCAGCTTCTCCACATTTCCCCGGCTGGCCTCATAGTGCAGCTCAGTCCACCTGTAGTTGTAGCTGGGTGCCGCCTGGTACCGCTTGGCCGGGGGACGCGAGGACTCTGGGGGGACCCTGTTCCCATACGGTGCTCTGGAGAGGGAACTGATGTAGAAGCCCATCTTGCCACTGGAGCAGAGGCCTTCTGTCCACATGGAGAGGCCTCAATAGCATGGAGAGGATCTGCATCAAGGTTGGGCTCGGTGCGGAGCTGATCAAGGAACGAACAGAAGGTGAACACGTTTGTTTGCATGTTACAGCAGTGGCACAGGTCCTGCTTTTCTATGGGGCATGTCTTTAATAGTTAGCCAAACATACCTACCTCCTTCATGGATTGCTGCCTTGTCGTGGCGAAGGGGCTTGAGTAACTATTTCATTGCCTGAGGGAAGGCCCAAACTAGCATTCCCTTTGTTCCGTGTCTGGCACCCAGCAGCTCTGCCAGCTGAAAATTACTTCAATGCTCCACACAGTAAGGGCCTCCACTACAACACTTGAGGGCCACAGCTCGGTTTAGAAAGCCCAAGATGAGCCATGCGGCACACACACCCAACTGCCCCCCAAGGGACAAAAATGGCCCTTGGGCTCCAGCTAGCTGGCATTTATTGCTGTTTCAGGATGATTCCTGGCATTCTGAGGCTCTTCCTCCTTGGTTTGTACACTACATTGCTGATGTCCAGCATGTGCACCCGAGGTGGTGATTGCCTCACTTTATTCACTGCTAGTAGCCAGTCTTGCTTGGTGGGCTTCAGGCTGCGAGCCACACCTACAAGGGAAGAGGCAGCTGTTGAAATAGGAATCATCCCCTTAGGGTTTGCCTAGTGCTGAGGTGGGCCAGCTTTAGGCTTACTCGATCCTGTTCTGCTTTCACCAGGACTCTGAATAACAGCAACTGAGTAATATCAACTCAGTGCAATGATTTAGCTCACGAAGGCAGGTGGGGGATCGAGGAAGCAGCTGCCTCTGAAGATCTGCTCAGTCCACAAATTTGTTTCCATCATCAAAACTGGCGCTCCCAGACAATGGATGCAATCTACTTCCCTGTCCATTCCCATCTCCAAACTTTCTTGGTTTCAGCAGCTTACCTGGGTGAGGGGAGTATTACTGTAACTACTGTTAAGCCATTGTGATCAAGAGTCATTGCTTATCTATTGCAAATCACAACGAGGCCCACCTTTTGTCTACTTGGGCTTATGACATGCCAAGTATTCTTATATAACTATTCATCACTTGGTAACTTCAGCATGTCAGTATTTTGCAGAGAGACAGCCATTTTGGTCTGCTTCAGCATGCAGATCATACAAACGAAAACAGAAATCATTACTGTGGCACCTTTAAGAATAACAGATTTATTTCAGTGAGAGCTCTTTTTTCCTTAAGAGACCATAGGTTTTTACTGCATTGTTGTTCTTTAGTTGTGTCTGACTTTTTGTGACCCCATGGACCAGAGCACGCTAGGCCCGCCTGTCTTCCACTGCCTTGTTTTTGCTGACTGTATAGAGCGTCTCCATCTTTGGCTGCAGAAAACATAATCAATCTGAGTTCGGTATTGCCTATCTGGTGATGTCCATCTGTAGAGTCGCCTCTTGTGTTGTTGGAAAAGAGTGTTATGATGACCAGCTTGTTCCCTTGACAAAACTCTATTAGCCTTTGCCCTGCTTCGTTCTGAACTCCAAGGCCAAACTTCCCTGTTATACCTTTTATCTCTTGGCTCCCTACTTTAGCATTCCAGTCCCCTAGAATGAGAACATCTTTCTTTGGTGTCAGCTCTAGAAGGTGTTGTAAGTCTTCATAAAATTGATCAATTTCAGCCTCTTAAATATTGGTGATGGGTGCATAAACGTGGATTACTGTGATGTTGAAAGGTCTGCCTTGGATTTGCACTGAAATCATTCTATCATTTTTGAGATTGTATCCCAGTACAGCTTTTCCCACTCTTTTGTTGACTATCAGGGCTACTCCATTTCTTTTACGGTATTCTTGCCCACAATAGTAGATATAATAATTGTTTGAATTGAATTCGCCGATTCCCATCCATTTTAGTTCACTGACGCCCAGGATGTCAATGTTTATTCTTGCCATCTCCTGTTTGACCACATCCAGCTTACCAAGGTTCATAGATCTTACGTTCCAGGTTCCTATGCAGTATTTTTCTTTGCAACATCGGACTTTCCCTTCCCTTCCAGGCACGTCCACAGCTGAGTGTCCTTTCGACTTTGGCCCAACCCCTTCATTAGCTCTGGAGCTACTTGTCCTTGTCCTCCACTCTTCTTCAGTAACATGTTGGACGCCTTCCAACCCGAGGGGCTCATCTTCCAGCGCCATATCTTTTAGCATTTTTTTTCCGTCCATGGAGTTTTCTTGGCAAAGACACTGGAGTGGCTTGCCAGTTCCTGCTCCAGGTGGATCACATTTAGTCAGAACTCTCCACTATGACCTGTCCATCTTGGATGTCCCTGCACGGCACAGCCCATAGTTTCTCTGAATTATCCACGAAAAGGCAGCAATCCGTGAAGGGGTTTTACTGCATTACCATATCAATAAACTCTTTTTCTGACAGTCTTATACACAACCCAAACTTACCTTAACTGTTCCCCAAGAGAAAAAGCCCTCACTACAGTCTTCAAATTTAAAAGATTGTTTATCAGCTGATAATTTGAATTAACTAATTACCTATTGCCAGGATGTGTAAGTAATCACGGTTATTCTGAAAGTTAATTAATACCTTTTGTGTTAATACCACTATCACCTTTTGTGTCCCATTTCATTTGGTACCCACCCCCGTACTCATGTATACTGAGTATACTAACCTGAGGGCTAAATATAGTATGCCATGTGTTTGGAGAAGTAGACAGTAATTTGTGAAAGCTGACACTGAAATAAAACTGCTATAATACTTCTGTTTTTGTTTGCATGTCAGGATTGTTTCACGTTCTGGAACAGGAAGATGTTTCTAGACTTTTGTTTCAAAGATTACAGACAAAACAGTGGATAAATTACAGCAGATACTGCTCTCAGTAATAACACTGGTTGAAGGATTCTGGTAGTGGTCATTCAGAAAAATAAAGTTCCCCAACTCTAATCCAGATGGGACTTTATTTGACCTACCAAAACTCTTCTGAAGTTCTACTACTGTCCTATAGACCTTTATTATCTATTTATCTAGCTACTGTACTCATTTATGAGCATACATGTTGAGCCAGCACTTTTACAGGGTACTGGATCTTGAAAAAAATGCAAATCTTGAAACATCTTGCAATTCTCTGAGTGATCCTCTGTTTCTTAGATTCCATTATTGTTCTGCCCATCAATCCATCAAGGCTTAGCAGCAGTTGGGAATATGGGAACCTGCCTTTTACCAAGTCAAAACACTGGTTCTAGTAGCCTAGTACAGTACTGTCAACAGTGAACGGCCACACAACTACAGGATCTAATGCAGGAGGTTTTGTAGGACTCTTTGGGACCTTCTGAATGCAAAGCTCTGCCTTTGGGCACATGAAGAAGAAAGCGGGAAAAAAAACCTGCTCCAAAATCATGTGCAGAATGCGTCCTTCCCAGCTAAATAACACTGCCTTTCCCCTATACCTTGTACAAAAATATAACTCCCGAGTCAGAATTAACTTGATAGCGCATCATCATCATCATCATCATCATCATCATCATCATTAATTATTATTAATTATTATTATTACTGGATTAGTTTTCATGACACGTCTTTAAACCACACTGCAACCGGCTTCTCCGAGCGATTCAGACCCATTGGCCTGCTAACCCCACTGCCCTTATAAACGTTATCACTTCCACCCCATCATAGCCACTGCCTTTCTTTCACATTCTGCAACAGAAGCTCTGCATCAGCACAACGGGCCCAAGATTGCAGGAACCCCACAACCAGCTGGGTCAGAACAGGAAGCCTATCACGTGAATCTCTGGCCATGTGCAGAGTTCAGCTGCCCCAACTCACCCTACCCGATTCGTTAACAAAAACGTATTCCTCCACCACCCAACCCACTGAGCTCAGGAGGAAAGCAATCTTTTTAGCAGCAGCTTTCGAATGAATTAAATCGCGGCCTCTCCCGTTCATCGGGAGGGGGGGGGAGAGGCGGGAAATCCGGGGAAAACAAATGCAGTCAATTCTGATGGCGAGGCGAGGGATCGTTTCGGTGCATAAAACCAGGGCCTTGCTTGCTGAACCGATTTCGCCCTAATGTTTACTCGCGCCGACACACACTCACGCCTTACCACCCACCGCAAATCGAGTGTGATTTTTAGGGCGAGCTGATCCGGATTAAATCTCTCGCCGCTTTGTCTCCCTGCCTGCCGAAGATGGATCGTCGCGGGAGCGGCCGCTTTCCCTCCCTCCTTCCCTCCCTCCTTCCCTGCCTGCCTGCCTGCCTCTAACCCCGGGGCCTCCCGCCGTGATTCCTTCCTTCCCGCCCGGCCGCCCCTCCACCCATCCATCTAGACCGAGAAGGTTCCTGGGGCGTCGCCGCGGAGCTCTCCTCCGGAGTTTACCTAGGTCGGGCAGCCCTTCCACCTCCGAGCCGGCTCTTTGCTCGGCGAGACGACGGAGGCAGCCATCGCCGAGGCGAGGGCGGCTGGGAGTTGTAGTCCCTTCTGGACGCTGAAGCGGCGTCGGCATCGCGTCATGCTTCCCCCCCACCCGGCAAAAAAAAAGTCCTCTCCCGACGGAGAGGAAGGGGGTTGCTGGTTGTTTTTTGCCTCCCGTCTTTCCAAAGGGTGGGCTGAAGTCCTTAGCGTGGCGATCTCACTAGAGTTGCCCCCGCTGAAGGAGAAGAGAGGGATTTTGGGGAGTCTGCTCCTGTGTCGGGGGGGGCTCATCCAGTTGTGATTGCAGTGTAATAAATCGCAACCAGAGTAAGCTCAGGGGTGGCACTCAAGGGTGGAATCGACCCACTGATTCAGTGGCCCTACTCTAGTGCAATAGACTCTACTAAACCACAGGATTTCGCGCGCGCGCGCGCGCGCACACACACACACACACACACACACACACACACACACACACACACACAAAATATTCACTAGTGCAATGTTTTGTAGGAAGGTGTTCAGTCCTTTGATACAATTGTTGTAAGCCGCCCAGAGACCTTTGGGTAGAGTGGGCGGCATATAAATTAATTAAATAAAAATAAAAAAAATCTCCTCACCCAAAGTTATCTCCTGACCAGGAGCAGTTAGGGCTGGGACTGAGTGAGGGTAGAGGTCTATCTAGGCTTGTGATGGGTCTCTGGCTATCTGGGCCTGAGCAGGAACCCTAAGCCACAGCATTTTCCCTTCCTTTGGGAAAACATCTGGTCGAAGGCAGACAGCATGGTTATCAATGCTCATATTATTTTTACTTGCAAAAAATGCTATCTTTTTATGTGATAAGACAGGGTTCCTCACTCCCTCCAGATAATAAGGGCAGCAGAAGCCATGCCTATTTTATTTTTGTAGTCATGACGATGGTATCCAAAATACAGAAATCTCTTCACTCCAAATAGGGTTGTTTTTTCATAAAAGCTGGCAAAATGGGCACTTGTTTGCTGAAGTATCAAGAAAGCAGAAGCAGGTTGCTGGCGAGGGCTCTGGGAGGAAAGATGTGCATTTCATAAATAAAGTTATTTATATAGCAAACTAAAATTCACCTCCACTCTCCACAAGATGCTTAAGTCCAACACAGGAAATTATCTAGTTAACACTGCTGGTCCAAAGTAGGGGTGAAAGAGATCCCTATGGTATCTTGAGTGTTAATATGCTCACTTGGGCTTATGGAATTGTCACCCTTTCCTGTTAGATAAATGATGGAATGGAAAGCAGAAATACACCAGGCTTTCCTGCCGGCTTTGAAACAGAGTGATGGAGAAGCTTCACTTACCACATGGTGTACGTAAGTGCCATGTACCTGTTAAATGTACCAAGAAACCTGAGTGTTCAGCCTGGAGGCAGGCATTGCATCACGGCCTCTCCCAATTTGAAGAGACCCTTGTCCAGCAGGCTGAGGCAAAGAGGAAGTCACAAAAGCAGCAAAACCAGGGAGCTGGACAGGGGACAGATTGGATTTGTCTTCAGTGTGGAAGGGATTGTCACTCTCGAATTGGCCTCCTCAGCCACACTAGACGCTGCTCCAAGTCCTCCATACAGAGCACGGTACCATAGTCTTTCGAGACTGAAGGATGCCTAACATTAACAAATAAATAGCCACAGTGTGAAAGCAGTACAGTAGTCTATCCAGACCTCCATCTTGTCTTGTCTGTTGAGTTGGGTTTTTTTTAAATAGCTGTGCTTGAATGCAGAGAATCCTTGTGCAGTACTTTTTAAAGAGCTGGAAGGGAACTCAGAGAGCAGATGTGCTGGGTGAGAAACTACAGTGGACCCTCGACTTACAGACGGCTCGACTTACAGACTTTTCAAGTTACAGACTTCTCTGGCTGCAAAATTTAGATTCAACTTGCAGCCAGAGAATCGACTTACAGACCAGAAAAAAACCAAAATGGAATAAAAATAGAATAAAAACCACTGGTTATGGGATTAATCGGTTTTCAGTGCATTGTAGGTCAATGGAGTTTCGACTTACAGACTTTTCGACTTTTCGAATTCCAATACGGATTAATTCCTTAAGTAGAGGGTCCACTGTATGGCCCTCCAGATGCTGTTGGACTGCATCTACTACCAGCACAGATAATGGTGAAGAAACTTGTGAGTTGCTGCCCAGGAAGTGGAGCGAGACAGTTGCTCACCTCAAGACTAGTTCTCTGAATGTTTAGGAAATCTGCTACAACATGCATGACAAGTTTTCAAACAGATTTTGATCAGCTACTTACATTTTTCTAAGGCAGCTTGCCACAACAGTTTGTATCACTTGGATATTATTTTTGGCTGTCTACTCAAAACTGCTGATTTTGTAATTTGAACCCTATGGTGTGGGTACTAGCCTCTGAAGCAACAGGGGAAAAAAAGGCCCACCATCTACAAGTGTTCGTACATCTAACAGCTGTTCAGGTACTTGCAGATAGATATAATGTCACATCTTAATCATCTCTTCTCCAGGCTAAATATACCCAGCTCTTTCGTTTTGCCCACCAGGCGCCTTACTATATTTGTCAATAATGCTCCAGTTTTTCAATGTCTTTCTTATGGCCCATGGCCCATAAGATTTTTAACAGCAATCTAGAAATGCAAAAATAAAACTACTGAAGCTTTTCCTAGCTTGGATGTGTTGAAATAGCCACCTAGAGTAGTCCTGAGTTGACTAGATAGGTGGGATATAAATAAAATAAATAAATAAATAAATAAATAAAATAAAATAAAAAAAAATAAGCTTCAGCAGATGAAGGCTTTGCCTGTCCTCGAGGGTAGAGCCAGTGAAAATACAGCAACCAAACTTCTAAACACCCTACCCTTTAATATACCATTAAGGAAACTACTGATGTAAGAACCAGGAACGGAGTCCTATTTTGTGTTGTATATTAAAGTTTATTGAATTACCATGTAAGACGTTTGCTCTGTAATAAAGTCATCTGAGATCTAAACTGATTATTTACAGACAAAACCTCTCATTTTTGTGATAAAATTTCTACTTTGCTGAGAACATTATCTACAATAACATTATTATACTATGGAATGAGACGACAACAGGCTGGTTTGTCTTTTAAGCTTTTTTAAATTAATAATAATTAATTCTCCAATCAGTTGAAAGAATGGATTTGGGGAGCTGGACCAGAATGCCAGAAGGAAAACATGGGCTCCTGAGCAGGGAAGACACCAAAAATGAAACAAAGGCATATCAAATGTTCAGAAAAGGGGAATACTTCTCCCAACATCCACTAGGAAGTTTCTTTTTACAGAATGTCATCTTCATTGAAGACATTCTATTCTGCATTTATGGAGTAGTGAAAGATAGGTGCGTGAACCAATGTTAATGCAGCTCGATTATTTTAATACTGAATTAGAGTGCAATTTTTAAAAAATGGGATAAGGCAAGGGACGGTAGCTTTTGCACACCCACACCCACACACACACACCCCGTCTAATGTTTTCCCATAATCCTGCACCGACAATGCTGGTTGGGTTTTTTGGCCACTGAAATCCAAAATATCTAGAGGGTTGAGAGCTCCTTAGCCTTGGTGCAGGCTTACCAAGAATACTTTATAGAAGAGGCTGACCTTGCTCTTTAACAGAGTGACTTCAGCTGTGAAAGAGGAAGGCAACCATGCCTTCCTTTTAGAGTTACAATCTGGAAGAAAAAGGCCTGTCCTAATGTGCTTTGAAAAGCAATTTTGATCTCCAGTCATCAGGGCATGAAACTTGATCGGAATACTAACTGGAGGAATGCTGGGGACAGTAATCCAATTTTGCCAAGCTCCGTCTTGTTCTGCTTTGCAAGCGACTCCCGAGGTGACTCAGTGCTGGTGGTATTAGGGACATGTCCAACACGGAAGAAACACAGCCATGTGCCCCTTAAACTGCTGCTAGCACCCCAGGATTATTGTCTGGGTGATCCTAGTTAAATTATGTGCCACTTCCTTCTACTGCGAACTGCAGTCCAAACATTGGTTTTCCAAACCATCTCTGAGAAGTTCACCATCACTGGAGGAGGAAGATGGGATGAAGCTGATAATCTGAGGTAGTCTCAGGGTTTAGCCAAATTCCATAGAGCCCCCTAATCCAGAGGTGGCCAATGTGTGCTCTTCTAAGTGTGCTAGAACTCCCTAGCCAGCATATCCAAAGGCAGGGGATGATCACAGTTGTGGTCCAGCAACACTTGGAAGTCTGAGGTCCCCCACCCTTTGCCTAGTAGCTGCATTAAGAAGGATGAATGCTGCGTTAAGAACAGCTGCCCTTTTGCCTCGGCCACTGAGGGGCCCTGAAGATCACAGAAACGTTCTCTACCCTGCAGCAAAGCCACCATTCTCATTGTGCACAGAGGAATCCATTCTTGGCTTGCAGGTCACCACATCCTTTTTAGGTGAAGGTAGCTGTCTTGAGAGTGCTCTGTCCAAGGGCATCTTGGAGCAGCCTCTTGCCTGCCCAGAAACTGCACACTTACTAGTCCTGATCGCTATTTGTAACTTTTAGGATCAGAGGCTGTGTTCTCCGAATACTGGCTGGTAAGGAACATCCACGGGGAGAGGGGAATATTGCCTTCACACCTGCGTGTGGACACCTTGGAGGCATCTTATGGGCTACTGTGGGAGAAAGGAAGGGCCTTTGGTTCTTTTTGACCTTAAGGTGTAGAAATACGTAATCTCTAGCAAAGTAATTTGCTAGAGGTTGCAAGGATGAGACAGGAGGGCCTGGTGTGCTCTGGTCCTGACCTTAAGGTGTAGAAATAAGTGATTTGCTAGAGGTTGCAAGGTTGAGACAGGAGGGCCCGGTGTGCTCTGGTCCATGGGGTCATAAAGAGTAGGACGTGACTTAAACAACAAAGCAAGGTTGAGAACTGATTTCTAGTACAAGGTTAAGAATGTACGGGCCTTAATTTCCCACCACCCCTACATAGTTTGCCGAATAGTGAGGTATGGTTAGAGTAGTTTATGAACATCTGGAAGGCAAAATGTTCCCTACCTCTAATAATCCTATGCCGTCAAGTTAGTTCTGACTTACGGCGACTATAGCATAAACAGGAGCAGGCAGCATCCTGTTCTTTGGCACATAATATGCCTCCAAGGTCTGTTTGTGCAGGGCGTTCTTTGTACGAATCTAAATTCAGCTTAACCTACGGTGGGGATAAATTTTCAGAATCACAGCTTTTTGTCACAACCTACTTTCCATGAAGAAACCAGTCCTGGTACCAGAATAGGGGCACCATAAAAAGGATCACTGGGCATGTACAAGGTACTATTCCTTCAATGCATGGTATAGTCAGGTCAGCTTGTGGCTGCCTGCTGTTGAAGAACGTCTAGGTCAGACAGCATGACTTCCAAGCTGCCTCAAGCTCTGTCAACTTCTAACTTAAGGTATTCATGATTGGTCTGCGATAACAGCCCTGGAGAAAGAAAAGAATATACAAAGGCTGGACAGAGAGCTTTAAGGACATGCGTGCAAATGATACACAGCTGTGTTATCATTGTTGGCTCCAGAGTGAAAGAGATACCAAATTGGACAAAGGGATATTATATTTTCCAGGTGTAACGCTTGTGTTTACATTTGGAATCTGGCCGGTGCTGCCTTTGTATTTACATAGCTCTTTTGCTAACCATCTCCCACAGGTAATCTCAGTAATCCTGACAGCCACGAGGGAAGATAAACAAGTATCATTATCCACATTCCCCAATTTATAAAAAGGAGGTTGAGGTTGGAAGATAAGGCACTCCAGGAGGTAATGGCCAGGCTGAGGATGGAACCAGGAATGTGGAAGCTGATAACGGTTGCTCTTTGCAAACATTGCTTGGGAGGCACCGGCTTTTGCAACTGTTAGGACAAGCTTGCTCCATCTGGGGCACTCCAGCTGCCTTGGATTACAACCCCATCATCTGTGCCCATGCTGGCTAGGAATGTTGGTAATTATAGTCCAATACATCTGGAAAAAGCATGCTGCTTATATACTGCCCCATAGCACTTAAATCGCTCTCTGGGCGCTTTACAAGTTAATTATGCAGGCTACACGTTGCTCCCCCTCCCCCAGCAAGCTGGGTACTCATTTTTACAGACCTCAGAAGGATGGAAGGCTGAGTCAACCTTGCGCCGGCTACCTGGGATTGAACCCCGGGTCGTGAGCACAGTTTTGACTACAGTACAGCCTTTTAGCCACGAGGCTCCTAAAACAGCAAGTTGGAGAAAGCTGTGATTTAGGCCAATTAGGGTGGGGTGCAAGAGACTCATTAACAGTACCTGCTGGTTTTAAAAGTGTTAAATGAAAAGAAAATGTGAATTGTTTGATTTGGGACTGCAGGATTTGGAGGGGATGGAGGGACAGTAATATCTTCTAACCGTCCCTCTCATTTTAGCCACACTATCTGGAATCTGGTGTTTGCCTCCTCACAGCGGAAATGATGCACAAATACATGTAGTTCTTGTCTGTTTCCCTCTTCTGAGTATTTTAAAAAGAAGAACATGACACAGTATTATGACTCTGTGGTGGATATGCTGCCAGCAGCTTTTAGATGATTTTGTTTCCCCCCACAAGCTGTGCAGATATTTTTTTTAATATCTATTACAATTTGGTTATTATAAACCAGTTTTGGTCCTTGAACCTGCAGGGTTTTAAATCAAACAAAAGGGCCACTGAAGAGTTTTTGTTACCTATCCCACCAGAGCCTGATCCAATCAAAACTTCTCATCTCTTCTATTTTGATGCTTAGGACAAAGCAGGGAGAAAACCTGTCCTCTTTCTGGCCAGGGCGCAGCCCTGCCAAAAAAGACAGTGACCTTCCTAGATAGGTTGGCAAGGAAAGCCAGGAGCCTGTGGCGTCATCTTGGCAGAACTCTCCCACTGGGCCTACTTTTCTATAAGGGTCTCAACCTGCCACTTGTAGTAGCAACGTGACAAACTACGGTTGCTTTTGGGTGTCGGAGGGCTGCAAAATGAACAAAGGGAAGCAGTAAACAACACGGAGGAGCAAAGATGAAAGAAAAAAAAGCGTGCGGATCAGGATGGATTTTGGGTGGGTTTTTCCTCATAGGAAGAGAAAGGGAATAATTCAGAGGTGCTTCAAATGATGGCTTGAGTTTAGTTTTAGCCAGAGCTTGGAAAAGTTACTTTTTTTGGACTACAGCTCTCAGAATCTCCCAGCCAACACGGTCAATGGCTTCCGGGTGCTGTCATCTAAAAATGATTGTTTTTATTTATTTATTTATTTAAACCTATATGCCGCCCACACTACCCAAAGGTCTCTGGGTGGTTTCGAAGCTCTGCTTTCCCTAACCTTTGCCAACTTGCCAGAAAAGAACCTCTGTCTTGCTCCTGTGCCTTCAAAAAACAGCTTGATCTGGGGTAATCAGCTGCTGACATTGTTATGGCATGAAGGTGAACATGATCACCAAGAATCAGATGTTTGGATTTTTTGGAGTACAAATCTCATCCTTTTTCATTCTGGGATTTGGACCTGACAGATGAGAGACACCTTCCAGACATCTAAATGTGGCTCACCTGTGACAAAGGCCTAAACAGGAAGGGTCTGAGGCCTAGTGCTGCCCAAGTGTTCCTTCCCCCATGCTAGCTGGGAGCTTTCTTTCTGAACAGGAAGCTAGGCAGAGCTAGTCCTCAAAGCCTTTGAGTTTAGGTCTTTCCCTCAGGTGAGCTTCATTTCATAGAAACATAAGACTAGTGAAGTTGGAAGCAGCCTAGAAGGCCATCAAGTCCAACCACCTGCCCGATGCAATAATATAAATCAAAGGATATCTGCCTGGTGGCTGTCTAATTTTCTCTTGAATACCTCCACTCACTACCTCTCGAGGTAATTTGTTCTGTCTCTCTCAGGTAGAAATCCCAGACCGGAACAGTATGGGATTTTTACTCAAAAATAAAAATAAAATTCCAGACATGTACTCAAAAATAAAAATAAAATTCCAGACATCCCACCCCTAATGATCACCGGCTCATTCATGCTTCCAGGTCAAAGCTGCTCCCAATGGCACAGGAAAAGGGGCCGGTAAAACATTTGGCAACCTCAACCAAAGAGAAATAGACGTAGCAAAAGCTGCCAAGACTGGGAGAGTGGAAGACTTCATTTTTAAGCTTGGATGCAACGCAAAGAGACAAACAAAGGACATTGTATAAAAATCCTTAAATGCCCGTGGCAGCCACAAAAGCCCCCTTGCGGGGACAGAGTTAAGGGAGCAGGTAGGAGGAAGAAATGCCATAAAAATGGGTGTTTTGTTGGAAAGGAAGTGCTAACAAAAAGGGGAAGGGCGATTAAAACAATATAGCTCTTAAATACTCTCCACCCCCCACCCCAACATCTACAAAGCAGTCTATAGGTAGGTCCTAGTTGAAACAGGAGAAAATCCAGCAGCGTGAGGCCACTGAAGAAAAGCAGGGTTCGCTTTGTGCTTTCTTGGGATGTGCCTGAAGAAGCAGCTTCAGAAATGCCTGCCCAGAGGACGTGAGGACCCTCTTGCTTGGGTCTGAGGAAGGCAGACACCACTCTGACACGTTGCAGGGATCTGGCAAGTGAGGGAAAGCCAGCCTTTCCAGTCGTACACCCGGCCCACGTCCTGGTCTGCTCGGGAGCCAGGAGGCTCAGAGGGAAACGCCACAAGCGATGCAGGAGGAGAAGAGACCCCAAAGGGCAGGAGTGAAGGGGTGGGTGTGCGTGTGGAGGGTCTCCTCTCCCACGTAGCCAGGATGATGTCCTCTCTCAGGCTCCACACGGATTCAGGTCCTGCCTGAGCTGGTCAACTCTGCAGGGGTCTGGTAGGTGAGAGGCAGGCCACGATCCAGTGTCCCCATGGCTACAACTAGTCTCTCTAACCCCATCGGCACATTCACAATGGCTGGCCTCCTGGCTTCTTGGCTTATCTGGAGGGAGCCTCAGATCCATTTGGGAAGGCTGTCCCCTGAAGTCCATTATTATGCTCATTATTTTTATTATTATTTTAAAAAATCTGTCCAAAACAAAAGAAGAAGAAGAATGAAAAAGAGGGTCCACCTGGCACACTTGGCCCCTTTGCACTTGACATTTCCTGGTCTGCTGATGCTGCTGTTCCCTCTTTCCACTTCAGTGCAGCGTGCCTGATCCTGGCTGCAGGACGATGCTGTCTGCCTCCTTCACTCGCTGACTGTCTCCCCAAGTCTATCACAAGTCGGTGACTTTGTTTTCCACGGCGGCGGCAATCTGCTGCAGGCGATAGCCCAGCTGCATCTTCTGTGCCGTTGGGTCCTCCTCCAACGCAGTGATGATCTATAGGGAAATTCAGAGCTGTTAGTCATGGGGGGCCTTCACCATCTGGTCTATTGAGGTGGTGGCAAGTCAAGGCTGTGAAAAAACTCCTGTGTCCTGGGGAGGCCCTCAAAGGCTTGATTCTCTCAATGTTGGAATTCATGATAAGTTAATATGAATAAGAAAAAGATGATAGGGCTACTGTACCTTTAATAAGTGTTGATCATGCTAAGATCTGTATGGGTCACCAGTGGACATTTGACTGAATCATAGGAGAGCGCACTGGTGTCAGAGCTCATTGAATGTGCAGACTAATAGAAGAAGCTGAAACACTGAAAATTCTTCTCCGACACAACCATCAAAGGGGCAGGAACTCAGTCATCTTTTTCATGTGGCCACCCTATGTGTGACACCCTCCCAGAATATGTCAACATGATTCTTCTGAATTCCACCCACATCACTAAGAAGTTTATGAATCACGTTAAAATGCAGTCAAGATACAGAGTGTAGCAGAAACTTATACTGGGTAAAAATACAGTTTATGCATGAGCAGTGTGCCATTAAAGTACATGTGCATAAATGGCGTGCATGATAGGCCTAGCTCTACTCATTCCTAGCAGCACGACTGCTGTGTTTTCCATACAATGGGCGCTGCAGTCCAACATGGCCAGAAAGCACCAAGCAGGGGAAGGCTGGTCTATGAAATCACCACCCAAGTTAGATATACAGTGGTCATTACCCCAGTGTAGAGCTTTTTTAGGGGAGAGGGAAGAGAGGAGGGGGATTACTACACGGAATATTGGAGGCTAAAATGGCTCCCCGGCAGCCCTCCAACAGGCAGACTAGAAGGAGAACCCACTTCCAGTCAATCACTCTTACCTGGTCGTAGTACTTGTTGATGTACTTGTACAGCTCATGCAGAGCCACCAAGGAATTGAGTTCACCTGAGTAATTCTGTAACCAAGAGAAAACAGCCTATTACTTACTAAGAGGGTCCAAGCCTCTGCCCAGGCCACGGAAGCCCTTTCAGCAACTGAAATGGGAAGGAACAGAACATCCCTCCCCAGTGCTGAAACTCTGCATGGCTCTATGAGATGCACCTTTCAATAGGATGCTGCCCTTTCCCTGGTCAGTGGACTTCTCCATCTCAGCATTTTCCAGAGTATCATACAGAGGTCTTTCCCATCAGCAACTATTCGATCCTTTTAAGTGGCATAGACAGGGACTAAAGACAGGGACAGGGACTGTAGCTGGCAAGCACATGCTCTGCCGCTGGGCCCCAATATCTGTCAAGGAGGCACAGTGGGGAACTGAACTCCCAACCTCTGGCTCTGGAACCAGATAGCTAAACCCACTGGGCTAAGGGTATGTTTCTGGCATTTCTACAGATACAGTACATTGTGTGAAGTTATCCAGCAAGTCTACGGCTGGCTTGAAAAGGATGGTAGATGATTTCACTTAGGTTCATTAAAATGAAAAAGCTTGTCGTGTAACTACAGCAAGCGTCTTACCCGTGATAGCTCAGCCAAGGCAGAATTCATCTCTTGATCACTGGCAGAGATCGTTTGGCGAATATCCGCATAGTACCTGTAGGATAGAAGCACTCCTTAGTCACCTCACCGCCCAGTTACCTGCCTCTGTTCCTCCTTCTATGCACCCAGCCTGCTCTCCCCTTCTCTTTCTTACCTTTCCACCATCTGCTTATAGCGGGGAATGTCACGAGCATACAGCAGCTTATTAATAGGGGAATCCTGCAAGGGCCACAAAGAGTCAGCAAATTAGTCACAACGCCAAGAAAGGTTAGCTGTGACGAAAGCCCATGGTGGGGAAGGGAAAGGACCATGAGTGATCATTTAGAGATATGTGAGGAGTACACAGGAGTTTCGTCCCAGCCCTCCTCAAGGTTCAGAGCCTTGCCCAGACTTTGGCCTCACATTTCAGAGGTATATCTTGTGCTAATCAGGCACCCTCTTGCCACATTCAGTACATTTATAAAAAACAGTGGACGTCTGAGATATGCATTGCTAGCACTTGCCACACCCTAATGGGGCCTATTTTGCCCCTCTGCAAGGGAGCAAAGTCACATCTCAGGGACAAAAAATGGCACTGGCAAGAACATAAGAGTGTGGATGGATCAGACTAGTGGGCAAAGGCCTGTCTAATCCTACGCTCTGATTCCCATCCTGATCAACTAGATACCCATGCAAGCCCACAGGCAGGACATGAGGACAAAACCCTTCTCCGCAGCAGCTTCTATTGCAGTCTCCAGAACAGAAAACAGTACATTGTCTTCACTGACTGGTTGCTGATAGTGTATGTCCAGCAATGTTCCCTCTCATTTTCTAGAGTGCTGTGTGGGAGCTCCGCCCCTTGTGTGTGGGATTCAGCAGCAACTGGAAGCAAATGGGCATTAACAATTGCTTGGCGACGTCTGCCCGATGCAGCAGTGTGTATATATATTACAAATGACAGAAGATAAGAAAGGAGTTTCTCATCTGCCCATGCCTGTCTAGGCTTACCCGACCCAGCTTGTGGTCAGCCAGGGTGCAGGAGTCCATGAAGGTTTGAGCAATGACCAGGAGCACAGCATCCACATTATCTGATGTCTGCACGTCAAAAACAAACTGGGGGTTCTTGATGATGTTGATCCAGAACCTGAGAGGCAGGCTATGGAGAGAAGGAAGAAAGGCTTAGTGAGTAGTATTTGGGGTGTGGGGAATGTCGTCGCTTTAGCAACAATTATTTATTTAAATTAATTAATTATATGCTGCCTTTCTCCCTGTTAGGGACCCAAACTGGAGTACAGTACTGTAACGATTTAGGGACAAAATAGATCTTACACTACAAACATATGAAAAAGTAGATCTTATGCTACAAACGTCATGAAAAAACACATTTCAGTCTCTGTGTAGTGGGAGTGGGCAGTGTGCATTGATTTTCTTTGTGCCTGCAGCACATTGGGAAGAGTTAACTCATTCCTTCCCAGGTGCAATGCCACAGAAAGGCTTTGATAGAGATTTTACAGTCACCCAAGCTGTAAAATGGAAACATTTGGCTGATATGACAGTGTGGAAGGACGATGGGAATGGATGTTGTTGGACTTCTGTGAGAGTGTTGTCTTCTGCTGGGCAGTGGTGAACATGGTAGCAAGAGAAGTTCCCAAGATATTATGCTTCTGGGAAGCATCAGATCACGATTTTTGCTGCATACCTGTTTGTCTTCCAGATATGAATGGTCTCCAGGTCTGTGATGCCATGATTCAGTGCTTGCTCATCCAGGAGGTCAAAGAAATACTTCACAGCCAAGGGAACTGGACGGTTGGTACTGAGGATTACTTGGAATAAGTCATCTACAAATTTCTGCAGTGTCCCCTGCAGGCAAATACAAACAGCAATGAGGAGAGATGTTTGAAAAGCTCAGAAGAAAATCTGCAATTATTTCCTACTGGGTAGCCATTCTAAGGGCAAAACTCTCCTTCCTCTTTTCTCCTGCCTTTTTCTTCCTCCCCACTTGGGTAAAAGGCATGGATCAGTGGTCGTGTGCTGTGCCTGCCTTCCATGCAGCAGGGGAACAAGTTTAAGTCCTAGCATTTCCAGCTAGGCCTTGGAAGGAATTCTGCTTGAAATCTTGTGAAGACACTGCCAGTCAGAGTTGGCCATCTTGGTCTAGCACACCCAAGAATCTCGTTTCATAGGAAGCTATTTGCTGTGTTCTTTCCTGTGAAAGGTTTTGAGGGAGGGAGGGAAAGAGACAGGTAGGCAGGATGCTTCTCCTCACCTTCATGGAGAGAAGGCGGGTTAAATAGATCTCTGGAATAGCCTTGGCTCTTTCCCGTTCCCGCAGGCTCCCTCGCCGGTGTTTTGGCAGCTCTGGCTCTTCTGTTGGCTTGACCAAGTGCCAAAGCTTCATCCCGCCTTCATCAGCATCTTCCAGCATGGGAGTCTCTGCAGGGCGGAAAGCAGTCTGTTTTTAGCAAATGTTTCTATTTGATGACCCCAGTCAATGTTCTCTTCCTTGTGCGATGCTATTATCTCCTTCCTTTCTCCAAAACACCTCATGCTTTTGTACATGGCTCCCCCACCTGCCTTTCTGGTGCTTACAGATGGCTCTGAGCGGCAAACAACAATTAAAGCGGATCGTAAAACAGAGTAACATTCTGAAATGGCCTCAAGGAAATTTTTGGATTTTTTTTTTTTTACAGAAACGGCAGCAGATGAAGCTCATAAAACAAACGCTTGTCTCAACAAGGCTCTCTCTAAATAATGAAATGCTACCCGAAACAGTGCCAACCTAGTTTCTCTGGGGCCAAGCATTCCAATGGTGAGCAGGGTAGGCAGAGACCCCGAGGGTGTGAAATGAAGCTGTGACTGGCCCAAGGTTAGTGGGTGTGCTTAAAGGACAGCGGGAATTTTGCATCAGAGAGACAGAGAATGCTTCTAAATGGTAGAGTCCGAAATGAGACCAGAGCCAACCAGGACTTAATAAGGAAGAAACAAAGAACAAGTGGAGAGAGAGGCAGTCACACAACAGTGAAGCGAGAGAATTCTTATCTCATATGGCATTCAAGAGGCAGATAGATTGGACACACAACATCACCCCGAATCCATACCTCCTGATTAGCTTTGCAGCCCACTACGTGGGCTAACTGCTGAAAAGCCCAGGAGAACAGATTAAACTCCAGCAGCACCTATTCTTTTGTCATCTACCAATATTCTAACGATCTGAACCTGAGCATCCCTTGTACTACTCCCAGTGTCCTGGGCTGGTACCCTCTACAGATAATTCCAGTGCTTCTCCTTTGCTTTGTTAACTATTTTCAGAGATTGCGCTCGAACAACTAATAGGGGCCCCAGCTTGCAGCAAGAGTTGGCAGTGACTCACTCTCTCCAGGGATGTAATCCTGATTCTCCCTGGGAAGATGCTTGGTCATACGAGGAACGAGAGCAACAGTGGCTCCATCAGGCACCTGAGCATGAGTGGGGAAAAACACACACACTCGAGTTAGATAGCAACCTATACCATCCCAGTGCTGCCTAGTCTTCTGCCTAGTGGTGTTATATCGGAAAACACGCACACAATTTGCACCATACATCTCTATGTTGCACTTCACACATACCAACTCTCAGGTCATTTTACATTGGGCTTATCCAGACAAAATCCTGGTCCAGTTGATCTTGGTTTATCATGGAAGAGAGTGGAGCTTACTGGATATCTCGTCCAACTAAATTACCTTTAGTTATTTCTCTTCAACATTCTTGGGGGAAAAATCCTTAGAAACCTACTTCCCATTAGAGCTTTACTTTATATTTTATTTTATCTTACTTTTAATATATACTGTATGTACTAATCAAAAGTTTTCTACTAGGAGCCTTCTGCACAGACGCGAGCTGTATGGAGATGCACTGCAGTGGTAAGGTTTGTCTCCAGGAACAAAATAAATAATGCATGCTTAGAGCAACAACCACCACAACAAAACCCAGAAAGTTACAAAACATACATTGATAATATCAGAGCAAGTGTTCATCCAGATGGCAGCAAAAATGCCAAAATAATCAATGGCAAACCTGATAGATTAGCAGGAACAAATGTTCCGCCTGGATAAGCTTATAGGAGGGGCCGGCTTGAACCTGCTCAACTCTGCAGAGGAAATAATTTGAAAATGCTTGGAGATGCACAAAAGAAGAGATAGCACATAACTGTTGGATCAGGTCTCCATGTCGGTTTGAGAAGGAGCATAGACAAAGAGGTACCAAATCTGCTTATTTAGTTAGTGTGCTTGTGTGTTTGTTTGTTACAATACTAGAGACTGAAGAATGGGTTTTTTGTACCTGAGGTTGGGAGCTGGCAACATGTCTAGCAACCTGAGAGCTGGATGAGTGACAGAGACAATGCATTTTTAAAAAATCAGCAGTGCAAGTGTGTGTAATTCATGAATTAAGTTGAAACATCCACAGCCAGAGAAGCTACAAAGTAAACAAAGAGAATACAATTCCCCCCCCCCACACACACACACACCTTGTAGTGCTGCAGGGTGTTGAGACGCTTCCAGTTGCCCTGGACGACAGACGTCACATCTTCATCAGAGAGAATGAGGTGCCCAGCTAGCCCTGATCTCCACTCTTAACACCAACAGGACACAGAAAAACAGAAAACAACACACAGGGTTGAGAACATCACAAAGCATTTCCATTAGGAGGGCGAGAGGCTGCTTGCCCTGTGTGCTTATCCATGCAGTTAAATATTCATTCTGTAATGCCAGGTAGGGGCAGCCTCCTGGTGCTGTCTCACCCCAGCAAATTCCCATTGCCTACCTAAGCTTGACCTGGATTTGGGGGGGGGGGCATTGATGCACAGCTGCCTAGCCACCGTTCCTGCATGCTTTTGGCAGAAGAACGGCCTGACCACAGGCACCGCAGGCAGAGGGACACAGTTGCAGAAGCAGAGAAGTGGGGTTCTGTTTAGCAATGGCTCCAGCCATTCACTGTAAACTCTGTCCATTCCCTGCGTTCCCCAGATCTGGCATCCCACTCACCCAAGTCAAGTGCGTCCGGGTCTGGTCGGTGGCAGTAGGGGGTCCCTTTGTAGATCTGGTCAAGGATCTTCTCCTTCACCTGAGTGATTGTGTCGCAGTCTAGAGCCTTGGCCAAGACCCCCTGGGCACCCTCCGGGCCTCCCACTGTGCTCCCCGTTTGAGCGACAGCAGTTAATGTCTGAAACAGGAAAAAGCCCCATCAGGTTGTTTCCACGGTGGCTCACTTGCCCACCTGCTTCGCGAAGCCACAAAATAGATGCTAAAGATGAGCCCTCGTCCCATTAAGACAGGAAGGGAGAACTGGGAGATGGAAGGGTCCTCAGCCCTTCCTGTGTCTGCCTTTGTTCCCCTAAATGAATATTATTACTATTAATTAATGGACGAAATCCTGTTGATTAGCGTAGTACTTCACACCACAGCTGGCCCACTGAGTCAGTGGGGGATTTGGTGAGTCAAGTCTTCCATACATTCCACTGATTCAAACGCAACTAATCTAGTTGGGATTTATTATGCTGAAGTAAATGGCAACCAGAGTAGGATCACTGGCATCAAAGGAACTTAAGGAGGATTTGATGCAGCCAATCCACACAGATTGAATGAGCCCACTCTAGCATGATGTAGGACAGTGGTTCTTAACCTTTGTTACTCTGATGTTTTTGAACTGCAACTCCCAGAAACCCCAGCCAGCACAGTTGGTGGTGAAGGTTTCTGGGAGTTGCAGTCCAAAACTCCTGAGTAACCCAAGGTTAAGAACCAGTGATGTAGGATACTAAGGGTGGGATCAGATGGTTATTTTCAGATCACTTTCTCTGGTACCTTCAGCATGGTCTGGTTCAGTTTACGTGTCGGAGACCAGATGGCACACACACACACGAGATCACAAAACAGCCCAACCCTACTCCTTGCCTAGTCTGGACATTTTTTGTCTAGTGGCCAGGCTGCTCTCTCTTTTTGGAGTGGGCCAGAGTGATCAGGACTTGATCACTTTGGATGAAAGAGTTACTTAAAAGATGGCACCCAGCAAAGTGATCCTTTCCAGCATGATCCAACATAACCTTTGTATCGCTGTCTGAGCACATCCTAAGCAACAGGATTTCAGCAAATTTGCTTTATTCCTTAAAAAGTACGTTTTTCTCATTATATTGACCTTTGGGATGTAGTCATAAATGCCAGGGATTGCATATGTCTACTCAGAAGTAAGTAGACAGGTGAATGTAACATTGCAGTCTTAGTTAATTATGGGTCCTTAACAAAGGTGGTAAAAAGTTATAGTGCAGCCTAATACAGATGCTGTTTCTATGGACGAAAACAAGCTAAAAGTGCAATCCTACACATCTGCTCAGAAGCATGTAGGTTCCATTACATCTAATGGAGCTTACTTCCAGGTATTTGTGTGTAGGATGCAGTTTAAGTGTTTTCTATTCATGGCTTCCTTCTCAGCCCACAAAATATCTCCAGAAACCTATACTGTACTGAAAAATATGTCCACAGAAAAAATCATAATTGAAGAAAATAGTATGTTAATAAATAAATACATCTATATAGGGACATAACAACACAGTAGGTCTTATTTAGGAATACATGGTTGCTGGAATCTGTCCCTGCTTGCATTCTGGGTCATGCATAAAGCCACTTGACTCGCACATGACAAGGAATTTCAGCAGGGACTCTAATTAGGAGTCATCTGCTGCGGCAGTGCCATCGCTGCTCCTGTGCTGCATTCAGTTACACAGAGGGATTCTAACAAGTGAATTATAGTTTTGGAAACTGCCATAACAGTTAGCAAACTATTAGCCCTTTTTTTCTACTAACAGTCCCAGCAACATCGGAAGTGTACGCTTGAGCAGGCAAGACTGGGGCTAGCTGGGCTTCATTCCCTCAGGACTTCAGCCGTGCTCTCACCAGTGTGCGATATTCCAGGTCCTCTCGGAGAAGACGGTTGTCATTCAGGGTGTACTTGGCTTTTCCAGTCACCCAGTCCACTGGCCCCTTGTCCACCTGGTGCTTGATTCCTCGGAAGAGCATGTAGAGTGGCTCCCCAACAGAGTCCTGGTGGAGAAAGAGAAAAAGCCTCTTTAGCCATTACACAGGAGCTCTGCCACTCTGGCCCTTCCAGATGCGCACACACACACACCAGGCTAGATACAAGAGTTTGAGCTAGCAGGTTCAGTAGAAAGGTCACTTAGACTTAAGTCTTGAATTGCTGGTCTGGTCTTAGTACAATCCAAAGTGGGTTGTGCCAGCAACACTACTACTACGAAAAAAAAAAACATGATTTAAGTGTCTGGAAGTTCAGTCACGGCAACTGGACTTCTTTCTTGTTAGGCTGAAATGTTTCACTACTCATGAGTAATACAACGTTTCAACCAAACAAGAAAGAAGTCCAGTTGCCCTGACTCAACTTCCAGATAACCACACCTGGATGCTGAGAATCTTCACAGACTCATGATTTAAGATGAACAAACGGATTGAAAATACATGGTTTAAGGGCCCCTGGTTTGAAAAAGTTGAAAACTAAAGATTCATTTTTTAACCCAAGAGTTCATCAGGAGTCAATGCTAACTAAAAATAAATCAATCAGGTACAGCTGGCATGTCCTCATCAGTGCCGAAAATCTCTTGAACTCAGCCTAGATGCCTGTACCACCAAGGGGTGTGTATGTCTGTGTATAGATGGTGTTCCCAACGTGTCATAATGTCAAACACTAGCTCAATAGCAATGAAAAATTAGAGAGGTATTTAGATTAGGCATCCTTCAGTCTTGAGAGACTATGGTAATGTGCTCTGAATAGAGGACTTGGAACAGCATCTAGTGTGGCTGAGAAGGCCAATTTGAGAGTGATAATCCCTTCCACACTGAAGACAAATACAATCTGTCCCCTGTCCAGCTCCCTGATTTTGCTGGGTTCGGGACTGCCTCTTTGCCTTGGCTTGCTGGACAAATGCCTAGAGAGGCATACGGCTAATTTAATTTTAGCAAAGAAGTAGCAAACATAATTATAGCAGGACATGATGATGCATCTTGGCTTCCTCTTCCTGTCAGTGGCTGGAATAGATGGATATCTTACCCTTACAAAGGCATACAGACAGATGGACATCCAGTTGGTCAGCAACTTCTCAACCACTGTTTCTGTCCTGAAAGAGAACCCGGGTTTGTTATGGTTTTGACCCCCTTCAGGAGTAGCCTGTCCCCCAAAGTAGTTCAGCACAGATATTTAGGAACCCCCTGCCCCCTTCCTTATTTTTGAGTTACTCTGAACTTGGGCAATGGGGTATTAATACTTGTCACTGAAGGGCTAATGCAGTCCAGTTTGCTTTGCTGTACAATTAACTACACACCAAGGTTGGAATTTGCTGCTGCATGTTGTACCAGGGCCCACTAGTTTAGAATCAGACTCCCACAAGGGAGGAATACAAAAATCTAAGCAGGGACTTTAATTGTATTTAGAAGCACTTTTGCACACCACTTTTTGGCCCTAACCATTGTTTCCAAAGTACTACACATTCAAATGAGAAACTAACGCGAAATACCACAAGCAGCAAGTAACCCTAAAAGCCAGGTGGAATAAAAATGTTTTTATCACCTATCTAAATGGCAATGCTTGCATTAGCCCCTTTGGGATGAAATACCACAACCGGGGTGCAGCTCAAGAAAAGATCCTGTCTTATATTCTCACATGCAGAGGCAATAGGCCACTAAAGGCCATGATGCTCCTCATAGGCAAAGACTCAGGGAGGGTGTGGCCTATAAACACTGCTTGTGGGGTTTTGTGTTTTGCTGCTGTTGTTTTGGAAGCACCTGACTGCCCTCTGTTGGAACCAGAATGCTAGATTACACACGCCACTGGTCTGATCCAGCAGGAGCTCTTCTGGTGCACTTTCGTACAGGTAGTGTTGCAGAAGTCAGTTTTAGGACTACATTTTGCAGAATCTCCTGGCTGGGGAATGTCTGGAAATGACAGCTCCAAAATAGGATTTTTTTTTTCCTGGCCTCTGGTTCAGAACTAGTTCCCTCCATTTTCATCCTTTACTCTCAAGTTTATGCTTCCCAAAACCTCCTTCTGGTCAGAGCAAGTGTTTCAGGAAGAGCCCCCGAGGGATCGGATCATAAGAGGAACGATGGCACTATTTTGTTCACAGGGCGGCCAGTGGGAGGCTCACCAACAGAACAGGCGTGCAGTAGCCACCACTGTTCCCTGGTGGCTGGCTTTCATATTATCTCTAATCCCGAGAGCCGACGACTACGATCACGGCTTATCCAGCCTGCCATGTATGAATCTGTCTAACTCCTTCACCTGCCCAACCTTCTCACCTTCGCAGCATCAGCTTGGGGTTCTTGGCCACGTATTGCTCCACCAAGTCATTCAGGAGAGTCTTGAGGATGTCTGTGAAGTACTCGAGCTTCCCGTGCAAGGCGACGGTGAGGAGTGACGCGACGTAGGCCCTGTCCCTCGGAGAGAAGGTGCGCTGGATTTCCAGGGTGTGGATGAACTGGGCAGAGGGAGGGGGGGCAAAGTAGACAGCTGCGGTTAGGTGGTTCTCTTTCCCGGCCGGGAAGCCAAATTGGCTGGTGGTTCACCTCTTAAGAAGGCACAAGGGAGACGGACACCTCTCCCTCCCGCCCTAAATACGACGTGGCGGTTGATGTCAGAAGCCAAAGGAAGGAATGGCAAAGAGTCTGAGGAAAAGATCCGAATCTGAGGTTTGCCACCTCAGTCATTACTTAAATACTGAAATTAACCCCTTCCTAGGATACACACACACACACACACACACACACACATGTCAAGAGGTTGCAGAAATGTACATGCTAGCCCCAGACACACCAACCAGAAGGAAAGGAAAAATGGGAGGGACACGTAGAGCACATTCACCCTCATCCCTCACAAGGATGGCATGGCCAAGAACGTGAGGACCTTAAAGGACCCTCTTCATTACATCATGCTGGGAAACTGAGCAGGTTTCAAAAAACTGGAGGGCAACGATCGTCTTGTCTTCGTCTCTCTCTGTGACTACGACCTTTCTCGTCACACAGCCAAAGCCCTGCCTGGCAGAACGGTGACGCCAACCATTGACCTGATTTTTTATCATTGACCTTTTAAGTGGGATACCTTGGTAAGAAAGAGCTTGCTGTTGAGGAGATTGGACAGCTGCACCAAGCCTTGTTCCACGGTCTGCCTCCGAGATTCTGGCACGTCCAGGTCCCTTTGCAACGGCGACTCACGGTGACCAGGGAAAAAGATGCGCTCCGCATAGGTCTTATAGTCCAAGAAGGGGATCCCGGTGCCAACTAAGTCACTGGTGAGATCCATCATCTCAGTCATGAGGTCTGGAAAGAAGGGAACCATCCATGTAACGAGGAAGGGGCAGCCTGTGGTCCTCCATGGAGACAAGAAAGAAAGCAACCCGGGCAGACTTTTTGTCCACCTCGCCCAGTACTTTCTGCAGACGACACAAATGGGCAGGAGTGCTCAAACCAGCTTTTTCTCCCTTTAGGGAGGGCCCTGAAAACATTATCCAACTCCAACAAGAGTTGGTCACCTACCCATGGCTAATTCAGCTCAGTCCCATGAACTACAGTATTTTTCCGTGTATAAGACACCCCTGTGTATAAGACACCCCCCCACTTTTCTAACCCAAAATGAAGAAATCTAAGTGGAGCTTAGCAAGTGGAGGGGAAAGCAGGGATCAAAACCCTGCAGGATCACTTTGATCCCTGCTTTCCCCTCCACTTATTTCAATTTTTAGTTCAGCTTACTTCCATCTATAAGACGACCCTCAATTTTTAGTCTTAAGGATTTTAGACAAAAGTATAGTCTTATACATGGAAAAATATGGTAATTTGCCTAATACAGCCGCCTGAAACGGAAGACCAGCCACCCTCCTGGCAGGCCAGAGAGCAGGTCCTCAAAGGATCCTTCCTCACTCTGGCATCCTTAAACTGTGTCTGAATCGGAACTCCCACTATATCCAGCAACCATCGCTGGGGATGAGGGTACTCACATTCAAAATACATCTGGAGGGTTGGGTGAGAGGTACCTGTACCTTTAAAGCTTTGGTGCTTCTCATACGTACCTGTGAATTCTTTTTTGCACCGAGCTCGGACACTCGTTTCCAGATTTTCTAGCTGGATCTGAACTTTTTTGTAATCTCGCAGGGCCTGTTTGCTCTTCCTCCTGGAAAGAGAAGAAAAGAAGGAGCAAAACTGTTCCTTTGTGCAAAGCCTGGGTCTTGAATTCTAGGCTAGAGAAAAAAACAACAGTTTTTTTAACTGCAGCCGAAAAAGATCTCAAAATTTGCAGTGCTAAATGACCTAGGGGGTCTTCTGAAGAATGTGAAGTTTTGGATTGAATAAGGAGATCGCAAGGAAACGGGGAGAGAGGAGGACATCGATAGGAAAAGAAGTGCTAGTAATGTGATCGTGCATAATTGCATGTAACTGCAGAAAGATAGAGGCTGCATTAGCAGAACCCTCCAACAGAGTGGAATAAAGGGATCAGAGATTTTGCATTCACAGATGCAGCTGCTCTGTGTCTTGATTATGGGTGTCCCTTATGGAACTTTACTATAGTCCAAGCAGGTGTGTAACCTGAACATCACACGGGTTAAGCAGTGGTGTAGGAATATAGGAAGCTGCCATTAGATCTGCAGGGGATGTCCCTTTCAAGGTGTTTCAAGATCTGAGGGTGACTGAAGGAGACTTCACTTTCACCCATCACCTTCCTCATAGTGGTAGGGTTAGTGTCCATCTTGTAACTACAATAGTGCCAGGCTAAAGCTCTCTGGGCTGGCCCAGTAATTTACAATGGTCAGTTTGTCTTAGGTAAGACTTTTCCACTGCCTTTTATGAACTGCTGGATAGCTCAGTGGTTTAGGTTTCCAGCTGCAGAGCCAGAGGTTTGGAGTTCAGTTCCCCACTGGGCCTCCTTGACAGGGTCTGGACTTGATGCTTTTTGCATTGTCTTTATTTACATTTATTATATTTGTGGCAGGTTTAAGTACCTGGCTGCGGAGCCAGACGTTGGGAGCCTAATTCCCTACTGTGCCTCAGGTGAGTAGAGCCAGCCTGGGTGGCCCTTGGCAAACTGCACAGTCCCAGGGCACCCCTGGTAAACCACTTCTGATTATTTCTGCCTGGAAAATCCAGTAAGTTGGCTATAAGTCAGAATTGACGTGATGGCACATGATGATGGCAATGAGAAATACCATGCCTGTTTTTGTTATATTTACTGTTCAGTACCCTGATATATTTTGATGAAGGTTGATTTATAAACATTGACATTCATTTATGTATAAACAGGTAGCTTTATGGACTGGGATGGAGACTTCAAAATATCTGGAAGGCACCAGCTGTTGGGGGAAGGCTGGAATGAAACCAGGCCATCTGACCTCATCTTTTTTTCCTTCCTCCTGCTGCTTCTCACCTGTATATGAAGACAATGATGAGCACAATCAAAGCCACAAAGGAAGCTCCAACCCCCAAACCAATCTGGGCCTCCAGGGGGAAGTTGAGCTGGCTCTCTGTATCATACTGGACGCGGCCCAATGAGAAATTCATGTTCCCCATCTGGACCTGCAGGAGGACAAGAGGACAGAGAACTAAACGCTGGAAAATCGGGAGAAGACATCAGCTGTGTCTCAGAAGACCAGGAACCTCAGGAATTTGCAGCTGCACAGCTTGGAAAAGTTACATTTAAGGCTGCACATCCCTAGGATCCCCCTGCCAGCAAACTGGGATACAGAAGGCTGGTCTCTGAGCTTGTGTCTGCTATTGAACAAACAAAGGTTAAATGGGTGCAAAACTAGGCGTGAATCAGAGGATGATCTTCTTTGTGGTGGGTTTGTTGATCATCATCAGCCTTAGAGGGCTGACTTGACAACTGGGGAAGCGTTGCTCAGGGAGAGGGCATGTCACCCTTCGCTCCCATTCTCTCCCCCAGATTTACGCCTTCCCCTGAAACTCATGGCTTTGTGGGTGGGTGCGCAAACGAGTCCATGCTTGTTTTCTTCATGCACGCACAAGAGATTATTTATGACTGCAATGTTTCAAGCACAATTACATTCTTCTAAAAAAATGCACCTGTTATTTTAAGCTGGACAGAGAAGACCTTGGAAAAGTTACTTATGGAGGATTCTGGCAAGTGTAATCTAAAAAAGTAACTTTTCCCAAGCTCTGGGCTTATTCCAGATGGAACTCTGAATATATATTATTTCCTTCTCCATCCCACTATTCCATCCCCTCTTTCACTCCTCCCATGCCAGTTGCCAATCCTTCTCCCATGATTTCCTTCTAATCCTCCTTCTCCCCCGCATGGGTTCCCACCTCCTTCCCCCTGCCTTCTGTCTGGGTCAAGTCCCACCACTTACTGTGAACTCTGGCAGTGAGTCTGTACCTTCCCGCTTGGCCCGGTGCTGCGGTGCCGGCTGCTCAGTGGGGGGTTCGCAGTAGAGGTGGTTCTTTGTGAGGGTCTTGACGGCGCAGATCCCTACCCCAATCATGGCTTTCACCTCCTCTTTGTAAATGGCCAGGTCCAGATTCTCGCCCTGCAGGAAGGGACAGAAGGCCAGCCTTATAAACACAGAAGTTACTAGTCTGGAAAAAAGAATGCTAGCTTGCTGAGAAAAGGGAGACAAGAGGGTCCCATCCCCCCTCCATGTCTACATGGCCAGCAGAGGAGAAAATGGAGTTCTCAGTCTTTCCCCCCATCAGCTGGCTCGCCTGCCTGCATGCCAAGTGCCCATATCAACTTGAACCCACCAGATTTCACAAGCAAACTCAAGGTTGGTTCAGGTCAGCCCCTGGATCAAAGACAGCCAGGGAATGCCAGGATGTGCAGAGAGAGCGAGGAAAGCGTCCTGCCTGAAATCCTGGTGAGCTGCTGCCAGTCAGAGTTGACCGTTCTGAGCTAGATCGACCAATGCTCTGATTGTGATCAAGGCAGCTGCCTCTGCTATTGTGCCCCCTCCTCTTTTGCTTTGGGTTAGTACCAGGCAGAGTGGAGAAGAGTTACTGTTTGAGACAACAACTGTCTGCATCTGTCAGCCCAGCCATGGGTCACACTGGGTGGGGGATTCTGGAAGTCCCAAGGTTTGATACCAGGCTGCTGCTGAAATACAAGGTCGAACAAGGCAGAGATGGGAGACAATCTCCGGCTTTGGGAAGACAATTGGGACAGTTGTAGGGAGGGTGATGTTAATAAAAGGGTGCAAGGAAGGGATTGCAGAAAAGCAGAGCCTCCAGATCCCCGACCAAGAATGGTATGTCTACAGTTTGAACAAATCCAAAATGTGTCAAGCTAATCACCCATTTTCTATCTTTAGAAAGAGGCAAACTATTGAGACATCTGGATGCAAGCTAATCACCCATTTTCTATTTTTAGAAAGAGGCAAACTATTGAGACATCTGTGGCCTGTTGGTATTCACCATATCCTATTAGCCTGCAGCCATTTCCTAATAAATATCATTACTATAACAAGCCACGGCAAACAGACGGGACTGGAGGAGATGGGTGTCCCTTTGAAAGGTATTAGAACTTGCAAATATAAAAAGTTATGACGTTTGCAGCAAGGACGCATGAAAGCTGCCAGATTAAGAGTCTGATACGTAAAGAGAGGTTACCTACCTGTAACCATAGAAGTCCGATACATAAAGAGAGGTTACCTACCTGTAAACCATAGTTCTTCTAGTGGTTCTCTGTGAATCCACACAATTGGTTTGTTCTGCGCCTGCGCTCAATGTCTCGGAAGCTTCTAGAGCTTAAAGACACATGATTAGTGGGGCGTTCCCCCGTGGAGCACATGCTTGGCCCACCACTGATTCCCTCAGTTCCTGAAAAATGCTTAGAACGCTTTGAATGTTCTACAGTCGATGAAGGGCGTTTCAGGGCTGGTTTAGCCGGAAGGATTGCATGAGTCAGTATCGAATGTTGAGACAATGTCAAGGAGGAGATGGAGAGAGTGATGGTGAGTATTGGGGTGGATACGGTAAAGTATAGCGGACCCTTTTAGGCTCATCATAGTATAACTGTTCTTGAGGATCATCAAGTAGATATGGGTCATATTGGTGATATCTATCTCTTCTATCATCCCGGAACTGATGTCGAGACAATTGTAGATAATAGCAGCACTCCCAGTGTGGGAGGTCATACAGAGCAGGTGATAAATGTCTTCTTTTCTCCTGGTGTTTTCTAGGAGAGTGGTGAGATGAATTGGAGCCAGATAGTTCAATTGGAATTGCCCGCCCTGATGATGCAGGGCTCGAATGGGCTGAGGCCTGGCTGGAATGAACATCAGCCGGAGAGAGAGGCCAATACTTGGCGACAAGCTACCAGCAGAGGCTGGAGCTTGGGCTGGAAGTAGAGACGGGTCATCTCTGTCAGAAAGAGACCGGAGCATCTCTAGATGACTCTTCCAGGATGGTAGATGGAAGAGTCGGCTGTGGTGGGTCGAGCTGAGTGGACTTTGAGGGTCTTTTCAGTTTCTTTGAGGTTGTCTTGTCTTTTTTCTTTTTAGAAGACTCTAAGACACTTGTTCTTAACCTTTGTTACTCAGATGTTTTTGGACTGCAACTCCTAGAAGCCTTAAAACCGAGCCGAGGTCTTTGATTTTGAAGTGGACTTCGACTTCTCCTTATGGTGAGGAGAAGGAGTCGCTGGGCTGGAAACGGGCATGGGGTTTTTTTGCTGATCGGGTTGAGGGTCTGGAGATTGTGCAGACTCAACCGAGTCGAGGCCTTTGATTTTGAAGGTGAGGAGAAGGAGTTGCTGGGCTGGAAACAGGCATGGGTTTTTTTTGCCGATCGGGTTGAGGATCTGGAGATTGTGCAGACTCCATAGCGACTGAAGGTGGGTTCAGAGAGGTAGGATCTCAGTTTTTGTAAACACAGTTTTAGCACTGGTTTAATTAGCCTTTTACACTCGGAGCAGGAGTGTGATGGGTTCAGAGGTAGGATCTCAGTTTTTGTTAACACAGTTTTAGCACTGGTTTAATTAGCGTTTTACACTCGGAGCAGGAGTGTGTCGGATGTTGTTCTCCAAGGCAGAAAAGGCAATTGTTGTGGCCGTCAGTGAGAGGGATTTTATTTGTGCACACTGCTTGAAAGGTCCAGGGGGGGCATAAAAGAGCGGGAAAAAGGGGGAGGGGAAAAAGTTGTGGGGGAGGAACAGGATCGGCAAATGTGGGCAGAGAAAAAACTGGAATAAACTCACAGGGGAAACGTCCAATAAAGAAGATTGAAAAGGAATTTGAAGAAAATAAATGGTGATTTGATGGAAAGTATGAATTCAATAGATTGCTCTATTTCTCCGAAACAGGTCTAGCCAACACGGCGGAAAAAAGGAACTGAGGGGATGAGTGGTGGGCAGAGCATGCGCACCATGGGGGAACATCCCTCTAATCATGCATCTTTTAAGCTCTAGAAACTTCCAAGAGGCTTCAGCGCAGGCGCAGAACAACCCAATTGTATGGATTTACAGAGGCCACGAAGAAGAATTAGAAGTAGACCTTGGGACGGTTACTTTTTTTGGACTGCAACTCCCAGATTTCCCAGCTAGCATGGTCTGTGGCTATGCTGGTTGGGAGATTTGTGGGAGCTGATGTCCAGAAAAAATGGTATCTCCAAGCTCTGATCAGAATAGGTATTGTGGATCAAGGCTACTGTGAAAAGGGGCTGAATTTGCACGGTTCTGTTTGAATCAGGTGATTATCTTGTCCTGGGATTTTTGGGAGGTGTGGTTAGTACCTTGAGTGATATGGAACTGGAGAGGAAGAATTGCAATTGCTGCTTCCTGCCCTCCTGCTTTCATACATATTGCCTAGTTAAGGTGTCCACTGCTATGCGATGCAGCCACTGGCCCTGGTGAATTTAGAAAGGCCAGAGTGAGGAACCTGTGCAGCTCTTGAAGATACTGAGCCCCAACTTCCATCTGTCCCCGGGCAGCATGACTAGCAGTTAGGGATGATGGGAGAAGGTAGATCTATTCATGGGAGAAGTGACCTTTTGCTGTGATCGTTAAATAGAGCCTCTTAATATCAGAGGCTGCATACCTTTGAATGCCTATTGCTTAAGAAAATCAGTGGGAGAGAGTGATTGTTTTCCTACTCTCTTTGCAGACTGAGAGCCTGCAGTTGAAAAACATGTATTTAAAAATACAGATACTGGACTAGGTGGAGCCCTGGGTCTCACCTTGGTCTCAGCCTCTTAGGTACTCAGCAAGGGAAAACTCTTGCAGAGAAACAGAGCTTGGAGGAGTTCTGTGTTTGTTTTGCATTCGAATGTCTAGAACCTAGAAGCTGTAGCCCAAAGCTGGCGAGGCTATTCTGCGAGTTATAATCCAGAAAAGTCATTTTTCTAGGTTAACACCTTCTAAACAAATATTCGGGGAGATTCTGGCCTCTACTGCCCTACAATATACCATTTTTGCTCAGGCGCCAAATTTAGAAGATGCCTTTCTACAAATCACCTTCTAGAAACAGCTCACATCAAGGGGCTGTGTTTTCCCCACAATTCCATGCAACTACAGAATGGTACATCTCTGCATACAATTGAATACTTAAGAGACTGTTGAATGTAACTCAAAAGATAAAAAGACAGACAAGGTTTTACTGTAAGAAAGTCAGGATATGGTGCCATGAAGTGACGTGAGGGGGGAGGATCATGAACATTTCCTTGTATCCTTCCTATGTACAAAAAGTACAAATCAGATCAGTTCTCTATTTATTTATTTATGGCAGTTTTTACAAAGATGGTTGTTATTTTAGTGCACAGTTTAGACGTACAGATTGCCAGCAGCCAGTAACACATGGAACGGATGGCACCTCCTGCTTACTGGGAACTGTTATTTTCCCCCATTTACCTCCACAGAGATGACACTTCCAGGTTTGTGACGATAGGGTTTGCTTTGATCCTCCGTGTTGAGGGGCTTCAGGACGGGGTCCACCTCATAGGAGAAGCCAGTTGGATGGAAGGAACTGAAGTCAAACACGAGATTATCCAGCACAAACTCCACTTTAACTTGTATGGAGTGAGGCAACTGCTGGATGGCTGGCGTTTTGCACAAGATAAGGCTGGAAGAGTTGACCTCACAGGGTTCTTCGAACTAGGACCAGAAAGGAAGAAAAGTGAATGGCTAGGCTCTGGAGGCTAACTTTCTGGAGATCCTCCTTTCCCAGGGAATCCTGAAGTCACTCTTGGTGAATGGTGAGAGATGCAGGACAAAGAAAAAGGAGAAACTTTTCATAAAGCACATGGTTTGAGTGGTGCAACTCAGTTCCAAATGATGCAGTGATGGCTGCCATCTTGGGCAGTGTTAAAAGAAAATGGTGGACAAATTGATGAGGAGACAGCTATGGGCAACTAGTGATCGTGATGGCTACATGTTATTTCCAGCACCAGAGGCAGGACTTCAGAGAAGTGAAAGTCATGGCCCTCTAGATCAGTGGTTCCCAACCTTGGGTCCCTGGATGTTCTTGGACTACAACTCCCAGAAGCCTTCATCACTGGCTGTGCTGGCCAGGATTTCTGGGAGTTGGAGTCCAAGAATATCTACCAACACGATGTTGAGAACCCCTGCTCTAGATGTCGCTGGACTGTAACTTTTACCACTCTTCATCACTTTGATGAAGGACATTGCACTTCTGGAAGGGCAAATTAAGCACTCCCCAGCTTGGAAGTAACGCATTAACAAGTTATAGAATGGATTTTCGTATTTCACCCTTAGAGGAAAAGTGAGGTATAAATATAGCAGATAAATTAATAACAGTGGTGGCATAACTACATCACATTGTTATTTTAACTTAACAAGGGATATAATGTCACTCCTTCTGTAGGGAGTAACTGTAACTTTTTATTTACTTTTTATAGTTACTGCGCGATGTGACCTCACTCAGTGGTGGAGGTGGAATATTCACTCCTTGGCTTGTGCTGTGTCTCATGCTGCAGCCTTAACACAGGGTTCCTGTGCTGGCAGGGAGGGGTTTAAAGTAACTAAAACTAATGATTCTAGTTACTTTTGAGAAAGAGGATATAGCATTACATCTAAAACCTTGCAACTGTAAGAGCAACTAACAGCTTTTCACATCCTAACTGGAGAAGCATTGTAGGACTATAAATACAACTAAATACAGTTATTATGAATTAACTTTCCAAGCTCTGTTCTGCCTCTAGATGGTTTTGGGAACTGAACTTTTGTGGATAACTTTTTTGTTAAGAATGTGTAAGGAGGTGTGCATTTATTCAATAGGTAAAGGTAAAGGTTCCCCTTGACAATTTTTGTCCAGTCGTGTGGGAACTGAACTTTTGTGGAGAACTTTTCTGTTAAGAATGTGTAAGGAGGCGTGCTGCAGGTTTAGGAAAGCATTTATTCATTGCTGGCCAAGTAAAGGTAGTCTATAGAATCAAAAGGCAGTCTATAGAATCAAAGCCAGTATATAGCTATACAGTAGGGGCCCCCTTATCCACGGGATCAGTATCTACTGATTCACTTATCCACAATCTGAAAATATTAAAA